AAAAAATGAATATCAGTTTGACAAATATCATACAAGTGAAGGAACATACACTAGCCTGTGTTCACAAACACAAGATCTCACTACTAAAAATAAGACATTTGGTTAAATGATTTTACACCAACTAATAACTAACTCTGAAGCAGTTCCAAACAGTTTATGTTGATATGGTATACTCCACTAACTAACTTTTGAATCTTTTGAAGCATGTTATAGCTAAGCCAAACTAGTGTCGCAAACTTTGTAAACTGATTAACAACTAAGCTAACACTAAAACTAGTATACTCACATTTCCATTTCCCTTGTTTAGAAAATGCTTATCCTGAAATTCCTGAAATCTATTTACTTATAGATTCTTCTCTACAAGACAGTGTAAAAACATACTAGTTAATCACCAGCATTCGAGACCAAGATCAATATAAAGAAAAAGATATTGTGTAAGTCCAAACACCTAACCTTCTTCTCCATGTATCTTGATTGTTCTTTAGGAATGTGTTAACTAAAACAAATAATTGTTCCATTACCTGTAAAGAATTCATAAGGTTATCCATCAAAGTAAATAACAAATCCAGGGGCATCTTTTTTAAGCTAAATTTTTTGTGAAGGCATCAATATTTAGCTTAAGGGGTGCCAAATATTAGAAAACATACCAATAATTGTGAAATAGAATATCTGAACCCATCAAAAGATTAAAAAAATATATCAACCACACAACCAAAGTAAACCCAAGAAACAAAATCAGTAACAACAAAATCAGCCCATATGATGAACTCGCATGCTAGACAAATTAGCAACCCCCGCGCATCCTATGGGGTTAACAAACTAAGATGATAGCGGGTAAATAAACCCAAATAATTTGTGTTTATCCATTAACTATTAATCATGTTAACATATCATCAACCAATAAAATGTACAGTTTCCCTAATGCGTCAAAAACACAGTACTGTGTTTAGAATTATTTAATGGAGTATAATCAACAAAGCACGAGTGGAAAACCTAAAGAAAGAGAGATTCGAAAAATGAGATTTGCAGATACACATACCTTAATTAAATTTCAATCTCCACTTACACTATGATACTACCAAACTACCCTCCTCCAGAGTTTTGAAACCTTCACATGCAAGTTGAAGAAAGAGATTGAAGTAGCTATGGAAGGAGGTGAAGGTAAGTCATAAATGAGGATATGCGAGAGGGTTTAAAAGAAAGTGAGATGTTAGCGAGTGAGAAAACTAACAACAACTACGACAACATTGAGATAGAGTGAAACAATGAAGGTAACCTTTCTGAAGGTTTCTAGAATATAAATCAATTTGTTTCTGAAGGTTTCTAGAAATAAATCAATTGGTTTCTGAGTTCTAGATTCAATCAATTCTGAGTTCTAGGAAATGGTGGGTTCGGTCTTGGAGGCGGAGAGAGATGAAAAAAGGAAATGGTGGGTTTTGTCTTGGAGGCGGAAACGAAGAGACGTGATATGGCCTAGGGTTTTTTATTGACTTTTTTACATCGATGGATAGCCTGGCCCAATGTAAAGACCCACATCTCCCACATCTTACATCGGTAGAAAGCCTGGATCGAAGTAAAAACCCTTATAACAAAATTTCCTTTTAATTACTAAACTGCCACCGAATTTTTGTCAAATATATCTTACATCCGTGGAAAGCCTGGACCGATGTAAAAACCCTAATAACAATTTCGTTTAATTACCAAACTGCCACTGCATTTTTTCACATCATTTCAAATCCAGGCTCGATGTAAAATCATTTAACCAAATGTCTTATTTTTAGTAGTGAGTGGTGCATAAAGTGGTAATCATGACACGTGACATCATTTGAAAAGACGTGCAGTCAAAAATTTAAAAAGTTAAAATGCCAAAGTTCTTAGTCGATAGACGCTCCATCAAAATTGGCATATTGGGGGATAATTTGTTGGCAAGTGATAAACAGGGGCCGTCTAAAAGAGGATTAGGTCACATGTTGGATGGAATTTCGACTCAGAGGATTAGGTCACAAGTTAGATGGTATCTTTTGTCAAAAGGAGTCTCAATTATTCTACAAGTGATAAACAGGGACCGTCGACAAGATTTAAGAGGTAACCCCTAGAAATTGGGTCTAAATAGTATTAGAAGCATAATCTAGGTCCTCCAAGCCTAGGTCAATCGAAAAATTAGGCAAGTGGCAGCAAAAGCAGTTTCCAGCTACAAGTGTCAGCAGAACGTGGGAAGTTTGGAAGTAGTTCCACACGAATTATTAACGTGAGTTATTCAAGTAACCGTCGACGATTACATTTTAGCATATCGTTAAGAAAGTTTTTGCATTCATTTTTGAAGTTGAATTTTGTAACATTGTAAGAGAGAATTCAAAGTACTAACGTATAGACAAACAAGTCAGTTCTAAGAAATGTACGATTGCGTCCACCTTTAAATTCAAAGCAGGTTATTTCAAGTCGTGTTTATCATTTCAACCTTGCAATTTATTTATTATTTATTTGTCTTTGTCTTTTATCCTTTTCTTATTATGTTTTTCGTACTTTAATCATTTCAAACACCAAAACATTCTCAAACTTAACACTAAGTCTAGGGATTGTTTGCGAGAAACTCCTCCGGATATGATGCGTTAGAGGAAGGCAGTGCGGTAGGTTGCGGGTGGTGGGTGGGTTGACGATGACGTGTCTAGTGATCCTGTTCGGCGAGTTTCAAGTAGTTTTGATTTCAGTGAATGTTTGCAGGTGTTTTATAATTTTAGAGTCCTTATATATGATTAGAGTTAGAGTTGAAAATATATGACACATTAGAGTTAAGTTTGAGTCATATTTTTATTTTAAGTCTGCCAAGTTAAAAGAGTTAATAATTGTGTTATTGAGTAGATTATATTAAAGTTATTGAGTTGTTTAGAGTTAAATGGTGAGTTATCTGAGAGCTTGGAGTTAAGTTAATTTTGTTTTGAGCTACGTTGAGTTATGAGTTGACTTTGTTGAACGTTGATGGTTGAGTGACTCTATGATTACCTTGGTGATGACTAATGTTTAATAATTATATAATTATATGAATTGAGTTCAACTGAAATTAAATATTATGGTGAGTTGAGTAGTTCAGAGGAACTACAATGTTGGCCTTATGTTGACAAAATTAGGGATTCAGAGAGAAATTAGTAATTGATAATTACATTGGTACTGTTATGGAATTTCATGCATTCATGTATATTGGAGATAGAAAGAACTTTGGTCCAGTGATGATCCTGGTTTAGAGAGGAATCAATGAAGGGTCTCAAGTTCAAAGATGAACCAAGTTCAGAGAGGAACCAGAGATGATTATTAAATCATCAACATAACTCTGACATACAAACTTTCGTACCACATGAATTCGGGGGGAGAATTACATTGCATACCTGCTTTGTGATTATTTGTTGTTGTGAATCTAAAATATGTGATTGATAATAATGTTATTAAAACATTCCTTGATGTTTCATATACCAATAATATTTGTGAATTTAATCTCAGCCCTTATTTGTTAGTTTGTTGTTCGATATGTCGATGTTGCGCATGCTCAGATAGAGGAGCATTAGATGATGTTGTGTTGAGGAATGACATAAACTGTCTGCTTCTTTAATTATTATTTCGAGTTATGTTATAGTTTTCTGTCATGTCGTTCTAATATGTTACATTAGGATGTAATAACTTCGATTTTCTTATATTTTTGTTTTCTTTGAGAATTGTTGGATTAATTCTCTTATAGTTAAATTCAGTTATATTAATTATGAGACTTTTCAATTAAACATGTTTTTGTGTTTCAGTTGTTTCATTCTAATTTTATTTTGACAAATAGGTTTTATGAAAGAGATGTGTGACTTCCTTGCTGAATAAATAAATATTTTTGTCTGATTTTATTTGGATAATACTTTTCCAAATTTAAGGTGTACAGTATGTACCCTTCTTGATCTCTAACTTTCAGGCAATGAACATTTAGCCCTTCATCCTCTCTACTTGAAACTCCTAAATCAGATTTTTTTTTTTTGTTTCAAATAGATACTATTTTTATTAAAATGAAGTAAATTGCTTTAGAAATTTAAATTTTATAATATCTAGAATCTTTCATATTTTAAAATTATAATAAAACTTGTTAAGTTTAGAATCATTTACTTTTAATTTATCTAATAAATATAAATTTTCTTTTATATGTATTTTTTAAAAATATAGATAAATAAAGAAATATTTAAATATATATTTATTTCATAAGAGATGAATAAATTGACCTAACATTTAGCATGGAGAGTGAGTACATCTTTTTGATTTTTTTTTAATTTTAAATATTTTACTATAGTTGGTCTTTTGAGTCGAATTGATAAAAATATTGAATTTGACTCACAAAAATAAAAGGCTCTTTTATATATATATATATATATATATATATATATATATATATATATATATATATATATATATATATATATATATATATATATATATATATATATATATATATATATATATATATATAAATGACTTTTATAAAAAATAATTTTAAAATAATAGAAGTTGTCAAAATAAAATCTCATTTTGTTAATTATTGGTGATTTTTCCTAAAATGTAATATAATATTACTTTAAAAAAGTTAATGTACTTGGTCAATTAGATCAATTTCGAATCTTTTACTTTTAATTTAAAAAGAAAATTAAAATAATAGCAGTCATTTGAATTGTGTCTTTTATTTTTTAAAAATAATAAAAGTCATATTTATATTCACTTTATAATATATAAATTTTTACTTTTAATTTTATTGAATAATTAATATTTTTGATCTATATATAAATTAAATAAATCAATTTTTTAATAAATTTAAAAAATAAATTTTACTTATAATAAGAAATGAAGGGAGTATTTAGCAAGACTTATATTATAAATATCAATTAAAACTCTTCTCACCCTTCACATTGATACAAGTGCTTATGAATCACTCTTAAATTGTTGTCACAAAATATTAGTCTTTCACAAAAAAATTATATAGAAAAATGACTGAGAACAATATATATTCGGTTGCATTGACGGTCTTAATGTGGATAAGTGTATCTGTGAGAGTATCAGGACATAATGAGTCCACAAAATGGGCGTTACTAGTTGCTGGATCTAATGGTTATGAAAATTATAGACATCAAGCTGATGTTTGTCATGCTTACCAAATATTAAAAAAGGGTGGTCTAAAAGATGAAAATATTATCGTTTTCATGTATGATGACATTGCCTTTAATCCTGAAAATCCAAGGCCTGGTGTTTTAATTAATCATCCAAATGGTTCTGATGTTTACCATGGAGTTCCAAAGGTACACATTTGCATAATCTATCCTGAATTTTCTTTAATTTTTTTTAATAATTTATTTTCATTTAAAAAATCATATTTTTAAATATACTTATGAAATTTGTGTAGGATTATATTGGAGATGAAGGAAATGAAAAGAATTTATTTGCGGTACTTAGTGGTAATAAAAGTGCTGTAAAAGGAGGTAGTGGTAAAGTATTAGAAAGTGGACCAAATGATACCATTTTCATTTTCTATGCAGACCATGGCAGTACTGGTTTTGTAGGTTAGTAACTCAATAATCTGTTTTCTTTTGTCAAAAAAATAGATGAAATAAATTTTATAATTTTTAGAGTTTAGTTCTTATTCTTGTGAAATTTATAGTGAAATAAATTTATAAATTGATAGTGTATAAAATAATTATTCATGTCATATATTATTTTTAGTTTATTTTATAATAAATTTATTAGTAAAAAAACAATATTTATTGGTAATTAATTTTTATATAACAATGAGTAAACTGGTATTTTGAGTTTTTTTACCAATCCTCTTTTATAAATTTTGTTTTCAATAAAAAGAGTATTAGGTACAACTAGTCACTTAAATATTATTCTTAACATTCACTCTATTAAAAATAGTCTTGTCTCATATCCAATATCCCGAGTCACATTATTTTAATTTAAAAAAGAATTAATATATAAAAATAATATATATATATATATATATATATATATATATATATATATATATATATATATATATATATATATATATATATATATATATATATATATATATATATATATATATATATATATATATATATATATATATATATATATATATATATATATATATATATATATATATATATATATATATATATATATATATATATATATATATATATATATATATATATATATATATATATATATATATATATATATATATATATATATATATATATATATATATATATATATAAATTTTTTTCTAACATTATTCTTTACAAGCAGTGTTAGAAACAGTCATAAAACTCTATTTCTATCTACCACATTTTATTTAATGAAATGTGTAACTATTTTCATTTATGACCAGGTTTACCAGCTGGTGGTAATCTTTTTGGCAAAGACTTTGTAGACGCATTGAAGAAGAAACATGATGCTAAATCTTATAAAAAAATGGTGGAAACGTATTTTAACTTATAAATAGAATTACTGAATATATAAGTTTGTTTAGTTTAGAAAGTATTATTTTACTAATAATAAATGAGTTTAATAGATATGTATTGTAAGTGTAAAATAATTTTACACTATTATCCAATAGAAAACCATTAATTTATTATGTCATTAAAGTTTAAAAAAAAATAAAAGAATGGTTTAATTGGATACATGGTGGTGATTGAGAGATAATGTAAAAATATTTTACACTTTTAGTACATCATTCTTTTTCTCATAATAAATATTATGCAAGTTTAATCAAAAGAGAAAATAATTGATGCACTGATAGTAAAAAATAACTTTACACTATCAATCAATCACAATCATATATCTAATTAAATCACTCTTTTATTTTAAAACTATTTTAATAATATAATATAATATTTATTTTCTATTGGATGATAGTATAAAAATTTTGTATCTCTCAGTACATATCTATTAAACCTTAACTAAAATATAAGAAAAACATGTAAATTATCTCAAAGGGTAATATTAACTATTTATATACTTAAAATAAATTTATTCTAATAATATTTGATATAAAACAATATTGGTATACATGATATTTTAAATTTGTTAATAGTTAGATTGCTTATTTATTTAAGTACATAAATTAAGGTGATATACATGGAAGCATGTGAAGCTGGGAGTATGTTTGAGGGACTTCTTCCAAATGATATAAATATTTATGTAACTACGGCATCCAATGCAATCGAGAATAGTTATGCATTTTACTGTCCAGGGACTCTTATTCCACCACCACTTGAGTATACAACTTGTATAGGAGATTTGTACAGTATTTCATGGATGGAAGATAGGTATGGTATAATTGTTGATTAAATAATTTTTCAAAGATTTAATATCAAATAACTCTTGATAAACTAGTTTGTTAATGGTGCAGTGAAACAAATGATATGACAAAAGAGACTTTGAAACAACAATATAAAATTGTAAGTATCAAAGAATTTTTTTTGATTAATTTCTTAATACTTATATTTGTCAATTTAATATTTGGCATGTAATGAACAGGTTCGGAAGAAAACAATAGGTCAGCCAGAAGGTTCTCATGTGATTCAATATGGTGATTTAAAGATGAACAATAATTTTCTATCTACATACATTGGTGCAAACCTTACTAATGTTAATGTTGACCATGAATCATACATTGGTCTATTTCCTACAACTCCAACAAAGCATATTGACCAAAGAGATGGTCGTTTGATTTATCTTAAGACCAAGGTAGTAGCAATTATTTTTATTATTATTTTTATTATTATTATTATTATTATTATTATTATTATTATTATTATTATTATTATTATTATTATTGGTATGAATCTTGAGTTATAAATATAATTGAATTAAGATGAGAAATATATTTTTTTTCTTTTTTTCAGTTGGAAAGGGCTTTGAATGATTCAACGAATAAGCTAAAAGCTCAAAAGGAATTAGAACTTGAAATTACACATAGAAAACATGTTGACAACAATTTTCAACTCATAAGTAATCTCTTATTTGGAAAAGAGAATGGTTCCACAATGCTGTTCCATGTTCGTGCTCCTGGACAACCTCTGGTCGATGATTGGGATTGTTTCAAGACACTTGTAAGTTCTATACCTTATATTAATTTATTATTTTCAGAATTTATTTTGTTAATTCTTTGTGAAATTCATCATCATTGTTATCATATCATTTTTTCAAGCACAAATCACATTCCATTTTGTCGTCAATATGCACTCTAAAACGTATATGATTTTAGGATAAATAAATGTAAGATATTAAATAGGGATGTTTTCTTAATGTTTTATGCAGATAAAAACTTATGAAGGTCATTGTAGTCCCTTATCAAACTATGGAAGGAAATACTTAAGAGCCTTTGCTAATATGTGTAATGCTGGTATTAGTGTGAAACAAATGGTTGCAGCAGCATCACAAGCTTGTCTAAAGAAAGAATAAGATTCTCAAATCCCTCCTCAAGAATATAATAATTATAATATTGTGTTTTAAATAATAGTTCAATCTTTGTGTTTTATATCATTGAAATATTTTTATTACAATTACCCCATCGTCATATTAATGTATACCCGTTTGAATGATAATATATAGTTTTTCATTTTATGTCTGTTTATAATTTAGAAAAAAACTAAAATGTATTTTTATCCCTAATTAAGTGTTTTTAACTTTTTAGTCCATCTAGGTTTTTAATCCCTCAATTTTATTTTGTTTGAGATTTTGTTTGTTTTCCTCCACTTTTATCTCACGTGACAATAATGATTGGAATAAAAAAGTTACTTTTAAAGAATAATTAAGTATTTTTAATTTTAATTAAAGTTTTTTTAGTAATTATTAGAAAAATTAGTTAATAGAAACATTAAAAGAAATATTTTGGACCTTAAGTCTAAATTAGTTTAGACTCTTTACAATCAAGAAGAAGACAAGGTGTATGTGTTAACTATATAAACACATTATTGTGTAAAGGCAAAACGAAGCGGACTTACTCCCTACATGCAAATACAAATCATCTCTTTTTCAGCACATAAGACACAAACTATCTTCTTAGTGACTTATATGAAGGCACACTATTATAAATAATTTATTTTCATGCAGATTTGTACTAAACTTTTGCAGGAAACAAATTTCATGTAATCTTCCCTGTCGTGTATGGTCCCAAGCTAAAACCTCTATGGGTAATATTTTCGATACGGAGATCCGTAGAGAAATCTGCATGAAATAATTCACGGGTCAATCCGTAGATAAATCCACAACAAATTTAAATCTGCAGGTAATTTTTATGTCAAATTAAATAATTTTTTAAAACATTATGAATTATATATTAAAATAACCATAATATAAAATTAAAAGTTTAATTTTAAATATTTTGAATTTAAATAAGATAAATTCAAATTCATAGAACAAGTTATTATAAAAGCCACTACAAAATTAGTAACAAGTTTTAACAAGTATTTACATAGTTACATTACTAAAAAAAACTCAAACAACCAAGCTACCAATAATCATTTGTCCAGCCAAATAAAAAAAGAAAAAACAATCTAAATTACAACTAAGTCAACAAAAAAAAAAGAGTACAAATCAAAATTACTACAAGAAAATAGTTCTTTAGAGTCAGCCAAAAGCCCTCGCTAAAAGACAAAATGTCGACGCTAAAGAGTGTTAGCGTCGATCTAGCGGCAGGATCATGGCAGACGCCTCAAAGCTGGAAGGAAAACATAGTGCTCAGTCGGCGCTAATATTACGACAACTTTTTTAAACACTATAAAGACACTAATGTTAGGGTGGAGACACTCGCTAGTCACACACATTTATATAGTGTCCGCCTACTATAACACTAACTTGTTACGTGTGTTACTTTAGCGTCGGGCTTTATCTACACTATAGGTTTTATATGTGTTTTATAGCGCTGGTTATTGCCGATATTAATGATCTTAGACGTGTAAGTTTAAAAGTTGCCTTGGCCGACGCTAAGTTAATTTTTTTCCTATTTTGGACCCGTCGGAACCTGTCAGTACAAATAAAAAAAACCCATACATGTTTATCATCTATCAAAGTAGAACAAAACACAATCAAGAGATTGCATCCGAACAATGATCAACATCATAAAAACTAGTCAACGAACAATTGCATAACTAAGTTAAAGGTTGCCCATATGCATAGTCAAGAATATTGATGAAGCGAATGTTAAAATATGAGACCATGATGAATTTCAACCTAAAAACAGTAATTTATAATCGATAGTTCATATTGCAAAATAAAAAATATAATTAATCCATAACAAGTTGTCAATCAAAAGCTCTATATTGACAACAAAACATAAATAGTTTAACAAGAAAAAAATTGGAATACAAGCAAATAATATATGATTCAACTAATCTAAACTTCTTATTATTAAGCCTTAGTAGCACTTATAAATGAATAACACTACAAGAAACCTACTAAAAATCATCAGCCAAAAGAGGTTTTAATTTTATAGAAAAAAGATTCATAGTAATATATTCCTGGTTTTAATTTCATTACACACACAAGTTTGACAATGAAACAATATCAAGAATAAAATCGATATAAAACATACACAAATGTTCCAATTACTTTAGTATCCACACCCATGTCTTCATTAGGATGCCAAGATCACAAACCTTACATATTTCAGTATGATTCAATACAATTAGAAAATGAAGCACACATTTGATACACCTCGAAGCACATTTCACATTGTGATCACATGAACATCCAATAATGAAAAAATGATAATGGTGTCTTTTATAACACCCTGCAGTAGCTGCTGGGCTTTTCTTGTTTCCTGAATAATTGACTGAAATTCCGATAGCAACCTAAAACCATAAAGAGCAGTTTGCTGTACTACTGTAAAACAACCCTGCACCAAGCTGTCACAATACTCTAAAACTGCTGCAAAACAGTCCTGCTATGCTGCTCCTAAACCAGTCCAATATTTGCACCAAACTAGCATATAAGAGCTGCACCTCGAAAGCTATGAAAAGGGCATACCCAAACTGTTCAAATTTTATTTATTTTCCCCCCAAAACCCCAACAAGACTCTTCTATAAATAAGTTGTTTCACAATATACAAAGGGAGGCTTTTGGGCAAGAAAAAAGGAGAAGAAGAAAAAAAGAGAGAGGAGAGAACACAAAGGTTGAAGCTTTAAAACACTCTTAAACCCTGAACCAAAAACAACACCTCTGTTTCTTTTCTTCGAATTCAAGAACATTCAAGGCAGCAAATCAAGTTTGAATCACAAATTACAGCTTCAAGGTAAGTCTTCTTGACTTTAAACCTTTCGTTTCAAGCATCATTAATGATTCATTTTCGAAGATAACATGTAATAATTATTGCCTTCGAAGCTACCCTTTTGTTGTTTTACTTTCTTATCAATTATGTTATAAACTAACCTGTACAGACCATAAAACAATGTTGGAGTGAGAAATTACAGCATGGTTCGACACAAAGCCTTAGGCTACGATCCATACTACTTCATAGGCCCAAACGGAAGGAAAAAAGGGTGTGTGATTCAACACATAACTTTATGCTTCGATTCACACTGAGTTACATGGTCAACTTTATGCTTCGATTCACACTAAGTTACAGGGTTAACTTTATGCTTCGATTCACAATGAGTTACAGGGTCAACTTTATGCTTCGATTCACACTGAGTTACATGGTCGAAAGAAGGATACGATTCGACACATGCTGTCGAAAGATTTGTTTTTTTCTCTCTTTTGGGTTGTTTTTTTTTATATTTTCAAATTTATTTTAATTAACCAAAAGTCTTCCATAAAAAAACCTAAAAAAATGATTTCTTGATTAATTTTATTTCCTTTTAGCTTAGGATTAATTTTCCTATTTTTTAATCATATCCCTTTAGGTAAATTAGGTCAAAACAATTTTCCCAATAAAAATCCAAAGTAAAATCCATTTATTTTTATATTCCTTGTACATTATATTCATGTCATTTCTTATACATTTATTCAATATGGTTGTAATAGATAATTAGGTTTAATTTCTTGCAATCCCCATTTGTACATTTGTATCCCACATTCCCTAATGATGTAATAACTTAGGATTTTAATTTCTACAATTTACCATTTTAATATAAATTGTTAGTAATTAGAGTGTGTATGGCAAGACAAAAATGTATGTAATCAAAACACTATTCACACACGTGCACCTCTAGGATAACCTCGCTTGTTGCCTGGGAAAAATAGTCATGTCCCTAGAATATGGGCGTTTTAGCAAAGACCCTCGATAAAAGATCGTAATCCCTCGATATACCTCGATGTTGCCTCTGGTAAATGATCTAGTCCCTTACGAAAATTTCTAAAACGTCTCATAAGTTGCCTTCTATGAATATACGATTGACCCACGCATGTCCTTTCACATCCAACGATGAGGTTTCTTACCAATCCATGGTAAGATAGCAACATCTAAAGGAGGAGGAAAAGAACAAAGTCCTTTTGAGTAGGTAGGACGCTCGTATTTGCTTGCTCACAAACTAAAACCATTTCCACACTTACACTTTCAAAACATCTTCAAAAACAAACATCTCGTTGAACTATTTTCAAAACCAACACTTTGTATAAATTCTTATAGAGACGAGAATCATTACAAAGTTTTCCGCAACAAAGGCGTTTTCAAAATATTTTTAAACTTAAACCACAAAGCACATTTTCAAACGAAGCAACTTTCAAATAATCTAGCAAACAACTAAGAGCCCGCAGATAACTACGGATGAAAAGGGTGTTAACACCTTCCCTTTTCATAACCTACACCCCGAACTCAATAAAATATCTCAAAGGTCTTTCCTGTTCTTTTCACCCTTTCCTTCATTGGATAAAAGAAAAACCGGCGGCGACTCTTGCTATTCGCAACAATTGCGATAAAACACAAAACAACCAAGTCAGTTCTCCCACCGTATCACAACAATATTATACGATTTGTAATTCCTTGATAGTTTGCGAGTTGTAGCATCTTTGAAATGACCTTATGGTGTCTTGTAAACTAAGCCAAAATTCAAAATTGAAGTCTCCCTCTTAACTTTGTACTTTGTTTAAATTATCTATTCTTTGTTTCCCTTTTTATATTTCAATTGAATGAATATGATGAAAGTTCTAAAAGGAACTAAGAGAGACCTTCATCAAAGTTCCCATTGAAAATATCTTCAATTTGGAAGGCAATATGGTGAACTCGGATGAACAATTCTAAGCCAATCTTCAATTAACAAAATCATTCAATTGGCATCCGTTTGCCTTATGAACTATAAGTATAACAATGAACCCACAAAATTATCCTTTGAGTCATGATTCAATATTTCACAATTCAATCCATAAACCTTTGACTTGGTAACCAATGAGCTCACAAAGTACCATATCTTGAAGAAATCTTAATTTTAATTCTGACGTCCAAGCTAACTTGCAATACAAGCAAT